ACATGAGATGGTAAAAATAGCAGAGATCAGGCCCGGATTCAGAACCTCGAGGCCCCAGTCACATCGTTTTGGAAGACAGCACGCTGGTTGGTTTACTGCTCTCCATGAAAATGGAGGAGGGCCAGGGTTTATAAACTTTATTCCTATTTTTTGTGGTTTGTCTGAATACATTTTTTTAATCTGAAAAAAATGAATGCATGCATGCTTGTCACACACACACACACGGGACAGCTCTCTCTTGACCACTGACCCAATGCACCCACTAAAGTTTACTCTAGCTTAAGCGACACCCTCCTGAGCACACAGAAATATATCAATGGGACTTCACATGAGTTTGGAAATGAATGTGGAAAATGTGCCTACAGTGAATCTATGTAGACCTGTTCTACTCTTGGCTGCACAGAAAAAACAGCTAAAGCCTTATGGATGCTTCTAAAAGTGCCACGGTGATAAATGGTCACCAGAGAAAAAGAGATCAGCGGAGAACAAATGTGAGGAATAGGGGAAGCCGGCTCGAGACAGTGAAGGACAGCCGAGGTAAAGTGGGGGGAATAAAGGACAGCTGAAGGTGTGAGGACAGAGACAGGCCAGGGTTTGTTGCTGAGGAAAGAGGCAGACGGACAATAAGTTACAGATAGTGAGGAGGACACTGATGACAAAACAAAGAGGAGCAGAAAGTCTCCATCCATCACTGTGATAGCATCACCTCCAGCAGTGTCCTCCTGTCTGCACCGCACCACTGACAGACTGTTGAAAGGCTTGTCTGTCAGTTTCTGCAAAAACACTGTACAGTCTTTCTTTCCTCTGTGTTCCACAATATCCAATGATGGGGAAAAGTGGATTAACATGAATTATTCATGAACTATAAATTGTACAAAATCGTACATTTAAACCATTGGTTTCAGTTCAGTTGCTTGAGACTCCGACAGCACATTGAACATTAGGTCGCTTTGCTTTTTGTCCAAATTACATTATCATTGCAAAGAGGGAGTGTTCTGGAAATTCCCCTTGGTGATACATTCAAGGACACTTGGAGCTCTATAACAAAGACCTTCATTTGTTTAAACAGAAAAGCTGCAGTTTAATGTGGAAGGGAGTATTTAAGTATTTAAGTCAGATAATGGTACCTTTCTCTTCCAAATATCTATTGAGACACTCTGTGCAGCTCTTTGCTCTGTTCTGGCAGTCAACAGCAAAGAAAGCATTTATGTATAAAGCTCCTTCTTACTGGAATAATTTACCAGCAAATATTGGATCCATATCGTCTTTCCCCTTGTTCAAAAATGCCCTCTCTTCTTATTGTAGAACTAGCTGTACATGTCAATAAGTATGACAATGTTCTACAATCTATCCATGACAATACTGACATAATTGATCTTTTTTTAAATGTTTTACTAAGTATTACATATCTTGTCTTTTGCTTTGGTACCTTGTGTTTGTTAGAAATATCTTGTCTAATTGAACTTGTATCTTGTTGAGGACCACCTTGTAAACGACATGATACACCTCATTATCGATAAAGTAATGTTCATGTTCTAATCGTTATCGTGCCGTTCGTTCAATAGTCAGCAGATCATCAACACTAAAGAACACAGCGACTGAATAAAGTGAATTATTCCCTTAAAATAATATGTAATGATAAACTTTATGTGTGAGTATTAACATTGAGTTAGTTATATGTGCGTAAGCCGATTTGGTGCAGGTCCTTTCAGAATAACATTATTGAGTGCTGGGATCTATTATGACACGACGTTCGTCCTTGTTCCCTGCACCACTGTAATATTTCCAGTCCAGTCCAACCACTCTATGGTCTTTCTGCACCCATGTCCGGCATAGCTGTGAAATTATGTGTTAATAGTTTGATCATCAATGTGGTTTATTGGTCTCAATTGCCAGTAGGTGTGTTTTGTAAATGTGAATAGTTGTTTGTCTGTCTGCCCTGAAATACGAAGGCAAAATGTCTGCATTGTATCCACCTCCTGTTCAAAGTAAGCTGGAATTGGCTCAGCCCCTCCAGAGACTCTCTAACCAAAATTTACATTCAAATACTCTTTCAGGCGGATTTTTGCCCCTTTCATTTTGATGCACCAGTGGATCGTCCATCCATTAACCACACTCTTTTATGCATCTGGTGTTGATGGATAAAAAATGTCGTAATTAATACAGATATTATGTGCAATTAAGTTTTATGATGCATGTCTGGTATGAATTTTAACAACAACATGCACAGCAAAGTAATTATACAGCAACACGTATTGCCTGAGTTTGTAAGTACTTACTGGACTACTTCGGTGTCAGCTTTAATCATCATCAAACAAATGTTCATCTACATAATTGATAGAAACGTTAGATGTTGCTGTCCTTGAACCTTGACAGAATCAATTTGTTTTCCTTATGTCTTATGTACTTGTACTTTATAGTTATTGGAAAATGAATTAGGCCCTGTTTAATCACATTTTTTTAATTCTAATTTCAGTATAACAGAACACTATGATCAGAATTTAAACATTTTAGCAATAATTTTGAATAAATTAAAGTAAAATTATGAATAAAACGAATGTATATGAGATGTACTACAGTGACAGATGCTAAAATCTAACACAGAAAAGAAACTTATATGACTCATACATACTTCTTAAGTAGTAACAGCTGTACACATCTGTTACAGGAGTCACATTTTGCTCCAGGGTGAATGTCTGCACACTTCCAGCTGTTTCCTACTGTAGACTCTTTTGATGTCACACTGGGAAATACTTTCAAATGTGAAGGTGGTGACTCTGCTGCAGAGGATCCATCATAACTCTAACTGAGCTACTACCAACAGCCAGCAGCAGAAATTAAGAAAAGGAACCAGTGAAGAGCAGAGACATAGAATACTAAACAAACTTCTAAAGCATCTGTCTGAGATGTCATCAGACAAAGATGAACTGGAGGTGGTTTATTGGCATCATGATCACAAACAATTAGAGACTAAGGACATTGTCAAGGCAGTGTCTCTTCTTCACAACCAGATGAATGAACCCAAGTAAGCTTTCCCACCTGCAGTGGACACCTTTCAAATTATTGTAAAAAAGACTGAGACATGGCAGATCGCAATGACTCACGTACAGAACCAGGAAAGGTGCATGGAAGTCTGCCTCAGTTGGGAACCTTCATCTCAAAAGCTCTTCTATACGTGCTTTGTATTCTACACAAGAACAGAATCCTAGTTATTCTAATGTCATCATTGTTTTAATGAAGAGCCTATTTCAATTCAGATTCTTACATGTATGTTTGAGGCTGTAACCCAGACAGGTGGATGTTTGCTCATATTTGTCTGGAGATAAAAGCATTTCAATATTTGGCAACTCCGGTAATAGTGTTCTGTTCCTTTAACGAATCCCGGTTATAACAAATACCAATCTCGAGATCATTACAGCTGGAAGCATGCAGCTAAACTGGGAGAACAAATACTCAATGATGAAAACACTGCTGATGTGTGAGTTTGCTGCACGACCAGCGGCTCTCAAAGGACCACATTTTTGACAGAGGCAATGTGATGTAGTTTTGTAGTGAGTGTGCACGCAGTTAAGAAGCTGAAATCTCAATTAGAAGGAGATTTTTGTGAAGCTGCTGGAACTGGGCAAAGTAAAACTGTGCATTACCATTGTGGGCTCCATTCTGCACGAACGAAAGTCTGCTTTAACTTTGAATATGCTGCTGAGTTTACAAAAGGAACTATATACTTGTTAATCCTCGGATGTGGAACGAGCTGATGTGCCTAGCGATCTACATCACTGAGGATTTTCCCATTCCGAGGAAACATGCACTGAAGTTTCAGCTGTTTGGGAAAACCGACTGTTGTGAGGAGCTCTGTTCAACTCTGATGAAAAGACTTTGCTGACTCACGGCTGACTGCTACGAACCTGGAACAACTAGTTGACAGTGAGATTACCATCAGAAGCTTCACCAAAGAGAAGCAGTTTCAGGTTTCATGGTTCTTAAAGAGGACAAATGACTTTAAGAAGTAATTTAGCCAGTTTATAATAAAATGAATATATTGCTAGTGGTCGAATTGACCAATAATCTTGTGAATATAATCGTCCTATTTGTTATACTGCAGTTTTAGTAAGTAGTATAAACAGAGGGTGTCCTGCTTGCTAAGCATTACATTACATTTTTACATTACCACCACCATCTCCCTGCTGTCTCTCTGATCAGTGAAGAAGAAAAGTCAGTGAAAATGAAACCCATATTATCCTGTAATTTAATGCAGGCAATCTTTAAGTTACAGCAGGTGTCACCTTCTCAGACGGCAGTCATCTGATGTAGCTCGAAATTGTGAAATGTTAAATGAAGTGAAGTTTCACACACACTGGTAGGACAATGATAGTCTTACTCCTCTGTAAGACTAGAATAAGATGAGATAAGACAAAACCTTATTGATCTCACCCCTGGGAAATTCCCTTGTTACAGCAGCAGACAGGTCAGAACGAGGTAGACAAGAGAATAAAAATATAAAAGAAGTCAACAATATTAATAAAAAAAAGCACTACCACTGATGGCTAAAACTTTATTCTACCATCCGTCTTCAAGATCGATTAGTTCTTAGACCTCAGAGAAAAACTCTCTTTCTGTTATCTGCTTTCATTCCTTGACACCAGATAGATCATGCTTGTGCACCGAAGTAAGGATAGTCGGTGTAAAAGTGATTTACTCTGATTTTTGTCACTTGCTGGGTATTGAGGCACATGTTCTGGTTGGTAGAGACGCAGCAAATACCCTTGTTTAGGAATAAGAAAGCTAAAAATCTACTTAATTTGCAAACAGGCAGTACATAGGAAGGCAAAACAATTAAATGCTAATAATACTGATGGCTAATTCAGCCTGGCTCAGAGGACCTTGTCAGGTCGTTCCTCTGAGAGCTGGGTGAGGAGGGCAGCACAAATCGGAACAGATGAGGGTCGACAGAGAGAGATACATAGAAAAAAGCAGTGATGTGTGAATGTTAGCCTCCTTACCTGCGTTGGGTTGTAGAGCTCCTGCAAGGCATTGCGGGACCCTTTCCTACAGCAGCTGTCCACCATGAAGGGGTTCCTCCGCATGACTGCAAAACAATGAGAAGACACATTCAAACCAACCCGATCATAAAAAACGAGGACAACGAGTTCAGGGCTGCAAGGTAGATTTACTCAGAAACAGTGGGTTTGAAAAAAAACACCTGTGTGCAGACCTGAAACCTAGCTCCGGGTGTGTCAATCAACCTGGAGCCCCATAGGACATCACACAGGGCTCGAAATCTGAATGGATCTTTTCAGCACACATTTTTCAAAAAGGTGGAGCAAGCAAAAGAGAGAGTGTGTTTTCTCGTTTTTGGGAAGTCTGTAGAGATGTCGGGTGGGGGCACATATTTACTTTTAAAAACCATGAGCAAGTGTATTTTGCAAAGTATGGCCCCTTTAAGAAGGATCCCTTAAGACCTCACTCAGTCAGGACTCCAACGCCCAGGAATACTGACTTCTGATTTCTTTAAGAAGTTAGGAAAGCTAACTTGCTAAACAGAGACGACTATGGCCAGAAGTGGTCAAAGCAAGATAAAGGCACCACAAAAATCCCCTTCATTTCCCACAATTCACTTGTATTAGGTTCGATCCCAATCTTCCCCATCTCCTTGGGCAAGATACTGAAACCCTGAATTGCCCCTCCAAGGAAAAAAGTGCTGCACATACAGTAGATGCACTTTATGAATGTGTGTGTGAATGGGTGAATGGCAATTAACTGTACTGTAAAGCGCATTGATTGGTCATCAAGACTACAATTTATTCCAGTGGCCAGCTGGAAAATAAAAATCCCACTTGAAATCTCGAACTACAAATCAATTATTATACATAATTGATATATTATTGATATATTATTATTATAATTATTATACTTAATAAAACGCATCCCAAGCTATTGTGTAAAGTCTGCTGGTCAAGGACGCCAGGCAAAGGCTACATGCATAGTCAAACATACACATGCTCACTTAGATGCATGTGTGTGTCTGTTATGTGCTGATTTTATGCTTATGTTTATGTTTGCTTTCATTTTCCAAGCCTCCTTGGTGGTTTGACAAATCTGAATGCTTGATGCTATGTGAAGTTGAAATGTGGGCGCCGTCCATTCGAAACAGGTTTCGTGATGAGAGGCAATGAGTCTGTTTGTTTTCATCTTTTTACTTTTGCAAAACCTTCGGAATGTTTATTTGTTGCATGCTAAAATGTAGTCTTACAGTTAAACAAATAGAAAAGACACAGGAGTATTCATTAAAAGTTGCAGACAACAACAAACATTAGACACTACTGGAAATACCAGACCAAGTAGTTTGTAGCAGCACAACTAAAAGGAGGTTGTTATTTCTTCTTTAAAACATGATATAGCCTCACTTTAAGGGGTGATTTGGGATTTACATATTGTGGTGATATATGGATGACCACTAGTCCGAACATAGAAGCAATGATTTTAATTTGGCTTCTGCCTTAGTCTTTATTCTAAGGAGCTATAACATAGCTGCACCGTTGACCTCTATTTGTCACACAGCCCACTTCATGAGGAGATTTGTTGTGTTTCTCTAATGACATGCAAGAAAGATCTATTATTGCAGGACTCACTTCCCAGGGAAGTTTTCCTCCCCGTGTTTTGTCTTGGATGAACACCTCGTCAAGGATGCCACTTTGGGAACCATCACTTTAAACTGATGCAAGTAGGAAGCAGAAAGCTTAAGGCATAAATTATTAGAGCAGCGACTATATGCCAAGGGCGAAGTCACAGTTCAGCGTTTGTTTGGCTGGCTCTCAGCTCTTTACACAACTCAATACAGAGCAGTAGCTGCTGGCAGAGGCTCAGTCGGAGCAGCCAGCGCAACACTCCGCCCCCGCCAACACACTCTCTCCAATGACTCTGGATGGAAAAGTGCTGAAGGACGGCACAGGATCGTCAGGAAAGAAAATGAACCACTAAGACGGCAGCCAAGGGTTTAATGTGCAGTTGTTCCACACGTCATCTGCCTCGTGTTCCCAGATGAACATGTGTTATAGAATATACCCAGTTATGACTTTGAAGGCATTTAATAAAATGCATGAAGTGTATCTTTTGGTGAAAAGGAAGTTATCACTGCATTAATATGCATGATTCGTGAGAAACATGCTGACTAGGGCTTTATGAATAAAATTGCTTGACCTGACTTTATTCTTGTTCTGCTGTGTGTCCACTGCAGTTCTGTATATGTGTTCACATGCTCGGTCAATAAAGTAAGGATACAAATGTGCATACGTGCTTTGTATAGATGATTTACGTCAGATTTCACATTTGCAGCTGCACAAATCAGGTGTCTCCACTTTCCATTTTCTGTATTTTTATCTATTCTAGATTATTCATTAAAAAAAGATGATTTCTGCTGCTGTACCGGTCAAAGGATTGGATTTATTTTACTCCCACCTTCATCTAAAAAATGAAGGAATGAAGTGTGCTGAGGTTGGAGCAGACTTCAGATTCTTCCAGAGCCCCTGTATGTGTACTGTTAGCCCACTGTTGTCCCCTGAACCAAACCCACAGACTGAGCCCCTAGGAGGGAGGGAGCTGAACACTTGTTAGTGTAACGAGCCCCAACAGACAGCAGTGACCTTCAAACACTGAGGGGAGAATAAAGAGATATCTTTACATTCAATATGCGCACACACAGACACACACTGACACACACACACACACATACATACACACATACACCAGGCTGATGATTGATAACCCTGTTGCTACGGAGGCTCTTTATTTATGCTGCTCAACCCTCCATCCTACTCTGGACGATGCATACAGGCAATTACCATATTCTCAGAGGAGGAGAGCTCTCGGTGCAAGAATACACTCATTGAATATCTGCTTTTTTGGCTCGCTCATGCAGAAGAGCATACACACACATGCACACACTCCCACTTCCTGCAAGCTGAATCAGCAGAGCGGTGGTGATTAGTGTGGATAGGCTTGAGGTGTAGCTCAAGGTGTGTGTGTGTACATGTGTGAATGCACCAAATGGCATTGAAAGTGGTCAGAAGTGACAAACATAGACTAAATTTGTAGATGATGGGCTGAGTGGTGCTTAATCACAAGCATGGTTCTTTAAGAGGACAATATACAGTTTAATATAATGAATATATTGTTGCTGGTCAATTTGACCCATAAACTTCTGAATATAAGCGTCCTTTTACATTATACTGCAGTTTTAGTGGGTAGTATAAACAGAGGGTGTCCTGCTAGCTAAGCATTACATTACATTATGACATAACATTTCATTTAGCAGACGTTTTTTTCCAAGGCGACTCACAATAAGTGCATTCAACCATGAGGGTACAAACCCAGAACAGCAGGAGTCATGTAAGTACAATATACTATGAGTGCTACATATAAGTGCAATATATACGTTAGGGCAACAAATCTTTTCTTTGCCACCACCACCATCTCCCCACAGTGTTTTTGATCAATGAAGAGGAAAAGTCATTGAAAGTTACAGCAGGTGTCATGTGTCATGTGTGGCGTTCACATAATACTGCTACAAGTACACTCAAACATTCTGAGTGTTATTTTAAGTGTGCGAGGGACCCATTATTTTATACCCCAAAGTATAATGGTGAAAATAAATATTTGAATTTACAAATCCATAGACTATTATCTGCTCTATTGCTCAACGGTATCAAAGAGGAAAAAAGTAAACTACTACTTGGAAAAACTTCTATTTCACAGTGGATAGCGCAGAATTTCAAAAAAAGTAAGCACCAGTTACATATTGATTATGAGAATCCAACCTACCCACAACTGGAACTATATTTTTACTCAGTTACACATGTTGCATTTCACTCCACTCAGCTGGAAACTGCCGTCATTCACATTCCTCTCACCTGCACTGGCTGGCTGGAATCAAGTAGTTCTGACAGGTATCGACACAGTGCAGCAAACATGCGCACACACACAGAGGTTTTATTTATTATCGTTATTTTGATATGTTAATTGATTAGAAGCATTGGACTTATTATTATTTATATATTTAGGTTTGGTATACTTTGAACTGTTAACAGTTAATATGTTAAATTTGAACTTCCTCCTAGTTTTGTGCTTTAAAGCAAATAGTATCGCCTCTGGCACTCTTTAGCCATGGAACCATTTTAATCAATTAAAATAATCTGAAATTTTGATGCGATATCAATTGATGATGATGATGAGGGCTGCAAGATCATAGTTCCCCCCCATCCGAGTCTTTCACTCTTCATCGTATTAAAAAAAGTTTTGTTGAAAACACGGAAATCTGGCAAGATCCTGTGAGATGTGGAAACATATTGATAGGGGGAATTCATCAACATGTCCCCTCCCCCTCTGGCTCTAATGCTCCGAGCGGGTCCCTGCCAGCTCAAACACCAGCGGCCCAGTCAGTGTGTATCCTGAGGAAAGTGTTGCTCTGTGTGCTGAGTGCACAAACATCCATACACAGCACAGCACGGAAAACAGCACACACTCTATTCAGCTTCATTCATACGTCTGCTTTGCAGGGACACTGTCACCCTGACATTCTTCCACCTCTTTTCATCCTCCCAGTTTCCATCATCCCGCTGCAGAAAACCCTTCCGTTACAACTTCACTAGTTCTTTTAACAGCAGGTGGAGCAAAGCTGGGAAGCTTCCGGCTCAATACAACAAGCAGGCCCCTCTGTCCTGCACTGAGAACCACAGGGAACACTATGAGCGCTTCCTAAAAGACTTACTGTAAAGCTCCCAACACTTCTACCCAAAGCATTGCTCCTTTAAATAGAGATGCAATGTCTCAGGATCCTACCAGTTTCACAGTTTTCTGGAGTATCCCTCATTGCAGAAGAAAATACTGCTACATGTAAGAACAGGGTTATGTTCACAGTCTAATCAGCTTCCTCCATGTGGCCAAACATCAGCTAATGTAGTTTTATCACATCACTCCTATCCTCCAGCAGCTTCATCGGCTCCCAGTCCCCATTGTTTTTAAGATTCTGCTCCTCACCTATAAGGCCATGCATAATTTAGCTCCTCTATACCTTTCAAAACTCCTACAACC